AACATCATCGAGAGTTCTTACGACGGACTACACCGAAGATACGTTCATGGAAGACAGTTGGCAGATGCATTCCAAGTGAGAACCAGAGTCAGACAATGCTGCCAACTCTCGCCTCCCTTCTGGTGGTTAACTGGATTTCGAAGACCTCTATATCTGACGGGAATCACTGAATACAACGAACAACGTGGACTTCACAGATGGCCTGGCCTTTCTATTCCATACACACGAACAAATCCAGGTCAAGACAACTAGTTTAGGATAGACCTCTGCACCAGTATGCCTCATCATACACAAGGGAAAAAGTAACATCCTCAAATATGACACAGTGCACTAACGAAATCAAACTTGGTGGATAAGCTGTGGAAGAGGTGGAGACTTCTAAGTACTAGGAGTGCATTACTGATGAACGAGGCGGATCTGATGCGGATGTAAGGGGCGAGGATTGGCAAAGCGAGGGCAGTATACCAACAATTGAAGGACATATGGAACTCAAAACATCTGTCAAACAATATCAAAGTCGGAATCTTTGGTACGGACATCAAGGCAGTTCTACTGCGTGGAGCTGAAACTTGGAAAACTTTAGTGCGGGTGAGTACTCCCCAGTCTATTGGTAGAAGAAACCCAAAGCGAGGTTACCTTTCCAAATATACAAGGGCTTCCAAAAGTCAAACAAACAATAATAATTGAATTTATCCACACCCCACTGCGCAAGCTAGTAGCTATAAGGACTCAGTAGTAAAGTGAACAACGCGATGGCATTTGAGGCGAACGGTACTTGGTTCAAGTCCCAGAGTGAACATCTATCCAGAGATTCAGATATCTCCATATGTTGAGTCCCAAATGGGACGAAACGCGAGGCCAGGTCTCCACTACTAGCCAATATCAAGGCAATATCGAGGCACATATACCAATAAAAGAGTGATCAATTTCAGCCCTAAATATCAGTGGGAAGATTCAAATAAACATGTGTTTTTGGTCAGCTACAAACCAGTCAACCGAAGTTGATACAGAACTACCACAAACACCACAAAAAAGTACAGGTACTTATAAACAATTGTCTACGCAAGATACTCAGTGTTCGTTGGCCGCATACCATTATTATCAATCCAATGTGAGAAGGAGCGAATCAGCTTCTAGTGGAAGAGGAAATTAGGAAACGATGTTGGAAGTGGATAGGATATACATAACAGAAATCATCAAACCACATGACAAAGCAAGCGCTAAACCGGAATCCCTAAGGGAAAAGGAAAAGAGGAAGACCAAAGAACACATGGCGTCGAGGATTGAGAGCAGACATCAAAATAATGGACAGTGACCGAAAACAACGAAAAATGATTGCCCAGGACGGAGTCCGATTGAGAATCCTGGTGAGCGGCATATGCTGCTCCACGGGGGTAGCAGGTGTAAGTGAATGATTGAGTAATTAATACTGCCATATCTTGAATTACTGTTAAGTCCTTTCGAAGCCCAGGTCAATTTTTTGCGTTTTGTAGACCTCCAGATCTGCGCGTCATTTGCATAGACTAGTACCGCTAAGAAAATTTTATCCATAAGGTCATTAAGAGGTCAGGAAAGGAAGTGGACTGAATACAGCCCCTGTGAAACTCTTTGTGTTAAGAATTGCCAGGTGTCCTGTACTCTATTCACCTTGGTACGAAACATACTGTTCTCCAGAAGGTTTTTAATCCATGATAAAAGTGGCTCTGTGAAACCCAGCTTTGTGACTTATTGTGAGGAGTATGTGTGATACCGCATGGAACACTTTTACGAAGTCAAACAATATTTCATGGACATGTAGTGATATTGTTTCTAACCATATGATCTTCGAAGCTGAGCATGAGATAACTGAGAAAATTCGTATCCAACATTTAACACGGATAGAAGGTCAGCTACGGTGAACGCGAGAACAGTTCATCGAAATGCCATGACTCGGTCACGTAGGCGCTACTACTATAACCTCTTGCTTTTTTATCAAATAGATTACTATATTTTAAGCTCATATTTGTTCGTCAGAAACGCCAGTCTTTATATTGCTGGTGGTCAGGAGTCAGTGTATACTATATGACTTTCATATAAGAGCTTATGGATTAGATAGCCACGTCATAACAAATCTGCAGTTTTGGGGATTAGGTCTGTAACTATAGTAGTACTAATACCGAAGTAGACCATGATTCTACAAACCTGTGTCGTTTGGCCTCTTCAGGTCGTCTAGCTATCCCATTATATGAGGATGTTGGTCTCGCAGGACCTGTCTTTCCTGAACTGGTGTTGAGTTTCACGGAGGATGATGTTTTTACGCATTTATTCCCTCATTTGTTCGTTGAAAAGTCCTCCCGTTACCTTTAACAGCATGGGGGTAATTTGACCAGTCTATAAAAGGCCGAGTCTCTTTTTTCCTTTCTTTGAAGATTGGAGAAAGGCCTGCTACCATTCTCTTGACGGTTGATGCGAATCTAGTGAGCGTATGAACAGGTCACAAACTGGCTACTTTTGTCGAATATGTCGGTGCTTGTTAGGCATCTGTTGTCTTAACAACTTTTTGTTTATTTGCCATTCTTATAAAGTTGACTAAGGATAGTGTGTGGAGTGGTGTCGCATGAAATTTTCCAGGGTGTTATTGATTGTGGATATACCATTTGGAAACTAGGTAAAACAATATAACAAATGTGAATTTTATGTTGTGTGATATATGTACTAACTGATAATTACTTTGTGCTTGATCGAACTTTCATTACGAACTCAAAATATAGTACATCCAGTTTTGCTTATCTAGTTTTACCTGCATTAAATTGCTTTATATCAAAAATTATTAGTTAGCAAATCAGATTGAATACTTTGATTCATCATAGTTGGTTATAGGAAAGAGCTCAAGGTCAGGGAAAATCTTGTGGAGCACTTTGGTTGAAAAACCCAGTCATTGTTTAGTCGTAGCGATTATGTCACGTTCCACTCAGGATTTCTGGAGGGATTTTCTTAAACTTAGGGTTGACGTTTGATTTCAAATACTCTGACAATCAATTATTATTGTTGAGAAATATGGAATTTTGAAAAATCTTCATTTCATAGGCAGTCTGAGTGAAGGAACTTGGAGGAACTATGAAAATGATCACACGTTTAGTAGCTTACAATCACATTCATTTAATACATAGGTTCAAAGAAGAAATATTAAAATTGTTATCTTATTACTGTGAGTCTAGTAGTATATCTAAACATCCCGAAGTCAACGATGTGTTGGTGGCCAGTTGATAGTGAAATATATGGGACTAAGTGTGGTCATAAGTAAAGGCATCTATATAGTTGCGAGCACATTGACTGCTTAATTGCAGGCCTTCTAAGATAAATGAATACGATGCTAACACAGTACAGAGTAAAAGAACACGAACCAAGTCTAAAGGAAAGCTACCTAATAGTATATTGTTATCGAAATAACACAACGTGAGGGTTAGTTCGTAAATAAATAACTAGGATAAAGATGTAACCACCAAAAAAGCTTGGATTAACAGTTATTTTACAGGTTATTACTACGTATTCTTCCTGGAATAGGATGGCATGGCAGTAAGTGCGAAATATGGGAAACAATAATGATTTGACACTAATGTTTTTATCAGAATGTGTTTTGTGGAGATTTTTAGAAATTTTAACAGATTGAAATCATGAGTCAGTTGAAGCTAGACCACCATTGAAAACCTGGAAGCACTGGACGGCCGTTTCGTCCTGGTATGGGACTCCTCAGCAGTGCGCATCCACGAAGTTAGACATTAACACCGTTGGATGCCGGCTCAGTGGTCTAATGGTTTAGTACTCGCGCGCGAAGCCAGTAGGTCCTGGGTTCGAGCCCCGCGTGGTGCGGGTTCGTGGATGCGCACTGCTGAGGAGTCCCATACCAGGACGAAACGGCCGTCCAGTGTTTCCAGGTTTTCAATGGTGGTCTAGCTTCAACTGACTCATGATTTCAATCTGTGAAAATTACTAATGTTTTTGTCACAGCTACCGTACAACTTTAGACAATGAGCAAATAACGCTCCATTTTTCCAGGTTCAGACATCCCCAGAGAAGAATTAAATGAGTTACATATGTAGTTTGCAATGCATCAGATGGACTAATTTACACCCTGAAGTTTCGAAATTAAGTCCGTTGTTATCTGCTCAACTCTGAAGTCCATTAGGATTCATCTGAAACGTCAGGTAATCATCTTTGTTTCGAATTGATCTCCAAAGTATAACCACGTTGGACCACTATACGTTTCGTAAGCTTAACGCATTAATTCACACCAAAACGAATTCTAATGAGAACCAGATATGCTCACTAACAGCCATCAAACTAGATAAAAAGCGTAAACACAGTCTTACATCTGGAGTCAAAAGAATTTTCCGAAATACAGTACAAAAATATTTAAGTTATACACAGAATGTGTTCTTTCCACACTCTGCACGATTTTCACACCAAATGTTGCAAACTGATATCCTTCTTTAGAAAAAGCAAGCGCTCTCAACCCATCGGATATTTTCTATTGAAATATTCAAGATATCAATGAAGGATGAACTTCGATAGCTGTCATTACTAGTTCGTCTGTATTCCACCAGGTAGTATCCTTAGATTTAGAGTTCAGAGAGTGAACATCTTAGGGGTTGTATGTAACAATTTTTAAGATAAGCTGGTTTCCAGCACATAATTCGAGAGAAGTAAAAATCCCATTGAGCGTTCACACATTTCCAAGTTCAGCTATCCTAGTTAAATTGGCAATTCACTGGACAACTACTAGCTACATTCATTGAGTAGAAATAAAAGTGTTTAACTCTTTGGTCTTCATTAAGAGGTATCTACGTACGAATTAATTGATATTGGTTTTTATAGTTTTATGTATGAGCTCCATCATGTAAGATGAGAATTACTGAGTAAAGTAGTCGGGTCAATTAATCAAGAAGCAGAAACTGAATGGCTATGGAAACTAAGTTTTATCTTTACAGATTGAACAACGTCTCTAGGCCTATGTATGCGAACAAAAGATCCGGTTCAAGTTAGTGGGTTTCCCAAAATTGGACGGTACTCAAGGTTGTGTATCGCGCCAGTGCAATAGTAAGTCTTTGACATAAATAATATCTCCAAACCCCGCGAGACAAAGCCGTTTTTGTGAAGTTTAGCTCTATCTCATAACGTTATTGTTATCGAAAAGATAGTTAATTGGTATCTGTAAGTCTACTGATCAGCAATTCGGATTAGTAGTTTAGGAGAAATGGGACTACTGTAAACCATAATTTTAATTCATCGTACTGGTCTATAAGCCCTACTTATTCATAGCTAGCAGGTGGTTGCAATGGCGTTTCTCAAAAGCCGTCCATAACTATTCTTGGTTCAGCTTTCGAAGGCCAACTAGAGGGACCCGACCGGTTTCCAAAAAACTGAAATATTTGGATGCTCATTCCTTGTGACATTGCACGTAGCCTCAAATATCCCGTCTGGCCTAATAAAAATGTTGACCGGGAGGGAATCTACCTATGCGAACACACTGGTAAAGACCCTAGGGTTCCTCAATTAACCAACAAAGGGGAAACGTGCTAGTGTCTGCTTTTTCTCCTGTCCAGGGGAAATAATACTGATTTTCCCCTCTTTGTCGCTTAGTTGTCTACCTTCCGCCTAAATTGTCTACTTTTAAAACACCATTATTATAACCCCAAAGGTCTCCTATGTTCGCCTTTATTCCCATAACACAATAGGTCTATTTAACCATTCGTCAGTATTTATATATTCCAGGTTACTCAGCTATGTGTAATACTAATCATACTCGCACTAGGCTTAAAGATGCTATGTATTCTTAAAGGACGTGTACGTGGTAGGTTAATTACATGTCAGAGTCTACGCTCATTTATCTTACTGTCACTAATCTACTGGTCGAAAGTATGTATTGAATGACAAATGTTATCTTACCATTCCCACTACAAAATTAAAACTAGCGTTAAACGATTCCCCACAATAATGTATAAGCCTCATTTAACTATGGTAAGTTGGTGAGCATTCTCAGGGTCACTTGAACGCCGTTCATAAATCATAGTCTCGTCTTATGGAATGCCACTTTAAAATGCAGAATACCTTCTAAACTGAACTGACCCTGATTTGCAAATCTGAGGAAATCACTGAAATGCGATTGGTACGGTAGAGAACACTATGCATCAACAGGTAAAGTAGTCGTTACCAGCAAAAATCTTGAGGTAGTTTTATTAAGTACTTAGGCTTAAAAAAAGAAAACAACCCTCAAAACACAACATAAACTTTATGTTAAGAGAAGAGGCAAGACTGCAAGGCTGAATCCAACAAAGCTCAAATCCTTAAAAGACAGAATTGTCCTCCGTCCACAAAACGTAACGATCGTCAACGTGAAATTAGATGAGAACCGTATGCTCCCACTTGTATCAGGGCAACTTTCCTATTATCAAACTTCCTTCATAAGGTTACAACAAAGGCAGTTCTGCTATCCATACAGCATTAAATAGAGGAATAAACTAAAAATGTAGAGATTTCTGTGATAAAGCAAATAAAACTAGTCAGCACGACAACTATGACCTTCACTGCTACTAATTTTAGATGAAAATACTGGTGGGTAATTAAAACTTGAATTACCGAATCACTTTTATTCTTATAAATCCTTTGTGCTAGTTGCACCAATTGTCAACTCATTTTGTGAACTATAAGAGTTAACTCAAACCTGTTTTTGACTAGTCATACTTAGTTGCAAATCACGACACGTAAAACGATAATAATATCTAAAGAAATCAAAATAACCATTCAGTTGAGTAGTAACAAATAACTTATATTTTAGATGGCCGAACTATTTTTAGACCCATCTATTCGATCCTGGGTATTCCTTCCTCTTGTAATAATTACTTTCCTCTTCGGGGTTTTACGTCACTACATGACTATCATGTTCACCAGTGAGAAAAAGGGTGAACTTGAGAATATCGGTGATAGGTAAAGCCTTGAGTTCAACTTTCTTTACCATTCCAGTCATGCCTTAATCCGCAGTAGACTTTTACGTGAAAATGGAAGATTCTTGCCGGCAAAAGTAAGATTTGGAAATAGATAGATATTGTAGGCTTTTAAAATGCGCAAGTATTTCTTCAACGATAAGGAGCATGGGTTTTTTAAAACACAAAAGCGAGAAAGTCCAATGAATAATCCAATGGCTGGTAAGTCTCATACACTACAACCAATTTTCGACAGATCCCTCAATGGCAACTGAGATGCTAAGAAGCAATGCGCTCAATATGGTTCCAATGATTGTTATTGGCAGCTGGATCAACTGGGCTTTTTCAGGCTTCTTGACCACGAAAGTTCCATTTCCACTCACTTATCGATTTAAGCCCATGCTTCAAAGGGGCTGTGAGTCGCTTACTTCTCTGGATGCATCTTGGTAAATTTTTGTTTAATAGTCGAACCGGTTTTAGGGTTAGTTCTGCATCTTGGTATTTTCTGAACATATTTGGCCTCAGAAGTATGTATGGTTTGGTACTCGGTTCGGACAACGCAGCTGATAACTCGATGATCTTGCCAGATCACCAAGTACCTACACCACAAGCTCCACAGGATATGCAAAAGGCATTCAAAGCAGAATGGGAAGCATTGGAAGTAGTCGACCATCATTGGGCTTTAGCAGACTGTGAAACAAGATTACTGAACAGATTATCTTGATGCGTTTAATTCTTCTTTAAATGTCAATATACTCTGTTTTTCGAAAGTCTTTTTGGAAAAAAGTAATCAGAAGAATCTTATCGTACATAGGTGTATTTCAGGAAGGTGAATAAGAGGGCTAATAATAAAACGTCCACACACATATCTTAAACGCACAAAATCGTGGATAAATGCGTTTAGGAAAAAATATAATTTACAAGGAAATATTATGTGGTGGTTAATAGCAAATGAACTTGGGATTCCGGCAATAAAATGTTACTGAAAAAGATAAATTAATTCGATACAAAAACTCGAGATCAGATCAACAAAATATTAAAACAAATCATCCTCGGAAAGTGATTTCAAAAGAATTAAAACAGGATCTCTGCCTCACAAGAGGTATCATCACCTATGAAATAAGAAAACCACAAATTCAAAACATTGATAAGATTAAAAAACTAGAAACAGAATAAGTGATAAACCGTTAGGGTTTTGGGAAACCAAAAATGTGTTAACCGATCGGAGACATGGTTCTAGTCGTAATAACACATTAGTCCTCACCTTCTTAGTTTAAAGTAACTAGGACCGATCAAGTTCTTAAATGAGGAATTATTTCATGTAGCACTTAAGTTGGTTACATTGCATTTCTTTGTTAACCCTACGAAGCGATTAATTAGTTTTCTTAAATGTCAAACTCGTGAGGTCTGTTTATTCGGTTGACGTAGTCTATACCAGTTTTTAGTCAGAAGTATATTCGGCTTTACTGAATGACAGTAGTGATCCTTCAATCTGTGTTATGAACAAAATACATATTTCAAAAGCTTATTTCCTATTTTGGGAAAAAGGATGTCCAGATGAAGTTTGAAGCTGCATTAATAATAGAGCGTAAAGATAACTTCTCATTTTCGTGTTATCTGTAGGGTTTTCGATTCCAATGAGGAATGGCTCACAATGATCGCTAACAATTTACTGCAAATAGTTGGACCTAATTCTCTACATCGGTCTCAATTAAAAACCACTCAGCTTTATTTGTTTTTATGCGTACAACAAGTTTTTTTATTTTTCATTTCCACCAATTGGGACTTATATGAAGGTATGTAATCCAATCATTAGAATGCGTAAGTAACATGAAATAGCAGTCATTATTACGCGAAAAAAATTACATATTTATTTAACTTTTTCCAAATGACATTAATGCACATGTAAGGAATGAATCGAAGTGGGATATCCATGTATGATAAAGAAATGAACTTTTTATTTATTTGAACACATGAACATTGGTACAAGAAGGTACCAAACTACACAGGTGCCCAAACCGAAGCAGGTGGATTTTTTAGGGGGCCACATCCCGAGCCTTTGACCTAGAGGTATAATCCACAAGGCAGTGGAACAACGTCGGAAGATGCAGTTCCATGGTAGCCGGTGACCAACGATTGGTTCATACGCCATTTGTTCCTTCAGGATACTAAAGCCCATGTACACTAATTGGTTTGAAATCGAGTTTTTCCAACCCCCAATGTAGATCCTTCATATCCACCAACCCGGTTAAAGCACTAGACATTCGTTTTTCGTCCTCTTAATTTCGTAAAGAACACCCCCGCCTTGAGAAATGAACTTAGTGAAAAGCTTTTATACATGCATTTGACGAAATAAGCCATACTTTATATTTAACAATAAAGCAAACTGAAACCTTTTAATATACTTACTTTCGTTTTGGAGTCACTTGAGACGTCGAGTTTGAGCTAGACTGAGACATTGGGATTAGGAGCTTTTGTCTGGCGATTACCGCACTCATTCTCGAGGATGGGCGTCTTGGCAGGGCATCCGAAAGATGTGTACGTTTATTGGTTTTTAGTCTCGATGAACTTCTTACATTCCTTCTCACAAGCTTTTTGTTAGTAGAATGTGAGGTTCTTCCTGGATTCCTAGTAGGCTTCTGGGAATTTTCTGAAATTACTGAGTTCCTTGGTCTTAATGAGACGTTCTGGTTGTTTTTTTGAGATGTAGATGTTTTAGTATTCCTTCTAGAGTTTTTATTGGGACGAGATTGATTTTGCTTTGCATTATTGGGTTGTGGGTTTTTCTTAACCTTAATGTTTACATTCTTACTCAGAAAGACGGAAGATAATCGTTGACTTGTATTTTTTATTTGGGAAAACGTCTTGTTTGAGGAAATTTCACTAACTTTTACAACAGAATCAAGTGTGGATTGTTTTTTGTTTGAATTTGAGTCTGATAATTTACTAATACGTGGACGTTTAAGATTTTCTTGTGGAGTTGTTTTTCGACGCTTTTTCCTATTAACAGCTTCTCGGTTAGGGGTAGACGGTCTCACTTCCTGTGTTTCTGTAATATCAGTACAAACTTTAGGATCAGTTTCTGAGGACATGTTATTACTGGTAGATGGTACACAAATGGATATAATCTCCTGTTGTTGATCTATTTTATCTCGGCTGTCTGACAGGGAGTTCTCATTATCGTCGATGCTTCCACATCCTGATAGCTCGTCAATATTATTATTTGATTTAGTCTTAAATTTCACCTCATTTTTCTCCTTTTTCTTATGACTGACTGTTTCTTCTGCTTTTTTCCTACATGATAAAAACACATTGAGTCTCAGGAAAGTTCATAAAAACAATAAAAAACGGGATAATTAGTGAGGAAATTGTACACGGTTAACAGGCCCAGTTTAACTAAGTAAACTGTTTGTATGTAACCGAAAGAACAGCTAGATTTTAGTACATTAAAATATGATAAACTAACAACGATAAATTTAGTATCTCATGACTAATTTGACATAACCATAAAGAATTCGACTAAATATTGAAAATCTAAGTAACTGGCCACTCAACAGTATTCATAAACGTTCAGTTTACAGTGCGGAATCTATATACTTGTGCGAACCTGATTTATATTAGTCAGTTCTTGTGATAAGTAATTAATTATTCGTAGAACGGACAAAATCAACAACCTTGGTTTAGAAGGAAGTTTTAATTCAACCACAATCGGATGATAAATGGATTTCCAAGATTCTTAATAAAACTCCTAATTGTGTGAAAAAATTTGGGAGAAAACTATTGTCTTTTGTTCATAACTGTAAAGTTTTACATCTTTTAGCACTGCATACTCTTACCAAATACTAAATTGCTAGTGAAGAATCAAATACTCCCATTTCGGCACCGGTTGGGAGGTGATTTGAGTTGGCAAAAATATAAGTAACGTAAAACCAGAAGTCAATAATTAAGTTAGAAACACGTTAAGCTACTAAACAGTTTCATCTTAGTGAAAAAATATGTCCATATGACGGGACTATATTGTTGTTCTGGCCATTACCGATAATCAATATAGTGTAAAAATAGTTAACTAAATACCTTGGCTTTGAAGTATTAACACCTTTGGGTTTTACAAGCTCAGGAGGAATTAATCCCTCTTTAAATGCTTTTGTGTGTTTGTTGGGAGTGAACTGTAAAATTGGTTGGACCTTATTTTTGATGGACATTTCCAAAGGTGGATTTGTAATGCTTGTACCTGTTTGTGCTTCACTTTCTGAACCGATATTTATCAGTTGCTTAAAATCAGGATTGCGAAAATCACTTGGTGCAGAGGTAAAAAGAGTTTTAGGTAACTTGACATCCACCGGATACTCTTTAATTGTCGGATTAATGCAACGTGATAACAAAAGACCCAAAGAAATATCGCATACAGTATACAGTTTCTGTTGAGTAAATAATAAAAAAGGGGAAAATACAACAGTAAATCAATATCAGTTGCCAAAAGTTACAAGTCTCGACTTTTTTAAATATCTAATATAATTGTTAACACAGCAAAAAACCACACAATTCCAGTCATTTATCAACAGCCTGAGGAAGGTTTAGTCGAATCTTAATTGAGTATGCAGTTTCAAGTGTGGTAATTTTTTTCACTAAGGTTCAAACACAAGGCTATAGGGGTGTCCAATTGATAAAGGTATTTTAAATACTTATGCATGGACATTTAGTTCGAGTTTCAAAATGAAAACTAATTCATAATCAAAATTAAATAGAATACAACACGTGTGATTGACTTTACTGTTGGTCATCAAATATATAGTGAAGGTAACGTTCAAAAAGCATGAGTATGCTAACCGATTGATATATTAAATCAGATACGGAAAACACTAAGTTTTAATGGAGATTTTCCAACAATAACTGTGATCTATTACTATCGCGTGAATAATTTAACATTGAATTGATAAAGAGCGGATTGATAATAGTTGGATTTACAATAAATCGTACAAGATTATGAATATACTATTAATCGTATTCCAAATTTACGTTAACTCGATAATCCAGAAACTGGAGAAAAAGCTAACAGTATTCAATTGTTATGGATACAAACGTTAAACGAGGTAAGGTGAAGGCCATATGCAAGTGCAATGGCTCTGGAAAACGTTTCCATTTGAGATCGATAAGTTCTAAGCTGATCATACGTTTGAATACTAAACTAATGGTCAGTTTTCACTTGATATTCAAATTGGATGGAAACAAGATGCTTAAGAGGCTTATAATAATACATATATTTACTTTACAAAAACATTATATATTGATTAAGAGGAGTGCAACACTTTCATACACACGATTAGAAGATGCGACAGGGGCGCTAATAATATTCTCAGTGCTGTAAACAGCACAAAAGAAAACTAAAAGCTGCCTACACCAAGGTCTACTTTCCAATATTTGCCATTTTATTATTGTTCAGCGAGTTAGTCCTAACTGTGATTACCATCTTGGCGTGATGGTCTATTGTGGTGATCCAATCGAACTATATTTCCTAGGACATTCATTTACTTAGGTCCTAAATTATCAGCCAGTTCTGTTGGAGGAACGTAAGAATAGACGCAGCAGCTTGAGGTACAACAGAGAAGTACTGTTAATTGCATAGAGCGTGATAGCAGCAAGGCAGTTTCCCGTCATGTAATCAGCATCTACAGAGATGTTGCATCCTCACAAAGGGAAGGAAAGGCTATGAAATGTTGATCCTGAAAATGTCACGAGTTAATGCGCCATTGACACATTTTATTTGGTC